AACATTACAAATCATTTAACTTCAGTGAATTCTCTTTGAACATTAGTATTTTTATGAAAACATTACCTAACGTCACCAGTACGAAAAATATCAGCGTGTGATCAGCGAGAAGGACAAAGCTAGCTAGCTTCCTGTGAAGTGAATTATACCTACATCAACTCGTAATCAACTTGCTCATCTTGAACCCTTGATAAGATATTAAAGAAGTTCCAGACTAAAAGGAAGACTTTATATTGGTTGTAAGTTTGTGAAACTTTTATTTATAAATCATTGTTTGTAATAACTATTATTGTAAATTATATTGTTGTGTGTATATTAAAACATATTTGTGTTAAAAAAGAAATCTGTGTGTATCAATCTTGTTGACAAATAGTATAAACTGACTATATATTGGCTTTTACTTAACTGCTAAATCCAAAGTACAATTTAACTACTAAATTTAAATTTATCAGTTAACTCAGTTTCAGACCATTCAAAATTCTAATACGTAACAAATGCATTACAGAACTCCCATCTTTCAGATGCACTTAAAATAGGTCTAGTCTGTAAATTTTCAATACATAGAACATCATTGAAGTAAGAATAAATTCATATAGACGTAGATCTCACTCCTTAAGCCTGCTACTTTGTGATTTGTGTTTACGTGCACCATTCATCAACCCCCCTCTTCTACATTCGAAAGAAAATGATCAGACATGGGGGTAGTGCTAGTTGCTCCGAGTGAGTTTGACATTACAGATTTAACAGTCTGGAGCATCATCCATCTTAAATGAACTAATTAATTTGGAAATACGTCTTCCAGAAATTGACCCATCTTGTTCAATTCACAACTCCAGTAAAAGCAACAGTCCAACATCCAGTGCAAGTACACACACTGTGCTTGTGGTATTAACAGATTGTTTTAGTAATGCGTCACAAACTTTGTGTTAGTCCATTTATTTCTTGGCACAGGTTCAGTTAGTCTTAGCAGAATACAGAATTACTGTGTAATATATCTTGCTGGACCTCCTATTATAAAGAGAACCTATCTAATTTACTCTTTCAGCAAATTGGTTTATGTGAAAATTGTACAAAACTATAAATGAGAATAATCAGGTTTCATGCCTATCTTTAAATGAATCATTAAAATAAAAATGTTTATAGAGACATTACTGCAAGAATATGAGGGAACAAGAAAAAAAAATACTGCATTAGGTCTTTATGATCGTTATACATTTAACAGCACTACAGAGATTTCAGTCAACACCTGAAAAGATAAAATTTGTCGATAGTTTTATACATACATACATATATAAATACTATTAATTTTAAAAAACAAACTTAAAAGATAAACAACTCACCTCTTTTCCTTCAGAACTATTTGATGTTTCTTTGATTTGTTTTGCTGGTTCAACTGGTTTTACGTTACTGTGGTACGACTTAGTGCAACCCTTAAATATAAAAGGCCATTTTTTAACAGTATCAAGAATTTCAAAATGAGATACATTTGAAGGTCTAACACATTTCTAATTATAAAATCTGAATGAAATACTGTAAAAGCCAAGATTATCATGGTTCATACTGCATTGCTCAGATTTATTTCAAGCACTTTCTAGGCACTCTCAGAATGTTTTTCAAGCACTTTTTGGAAGCCAGAATCTACATCAAAATCAATCGGATTCCAGTGAAATTTTATAAATTTCCTATTTACTTGTACAAAAAGACTATTTATTGTGCTCAATTCGACAACACGCATTAAAGTTAGATATATCGATATATTCTGCTATTATAATATTTTCAAGTACTTTTCCAAAAAAAAAAATGCCCCTTTTCAAGCACTTTGAAGGATGCACCCTGGGTTATACAGTAGATTCTCATGTAATACATTTAACTCCTTTTATACTTTTCCCTCATATATAGTTCAAGCTGTTTAGTATTTAAAATAATAAATTGTTTTGTTACTTCCACTTACAGAAAGATATGTCTAACGCTGTAGACAAATAACTTGTATAACTGCAGAGTTATACAAAAATATGATATTATTGAAAATGCAAAGAGCACATAATTAGTATTCCTTTAATAAATAAATATATTTATCGTGTAAATCAAGCAATAATTTTGCACTAAAAATTTTATTAAATGTACCTACTATATTTTTTACACTGAAAAAGGACAATTTTCATTAAAAAATAATTCTTTTGTTCAATTACTAATACTGTTCCATTCACCAAATTTACGGTCACGATAGTTTAAGTTTCTACAGCCAGTATGTTAAAGCTTAACTATGAAAGTATATGTGAAGCTTTTCTATTTGTTTTTCTTCATAGTTACAAACTAATGATTGTAGTGGTTTCTTTAAAACATTATTTACACATCAGTGGAGTAGTGCTAGTTCTGAGCGGTTTTCATCACTGTACACTCACCCGCATGGTGGCAAATGTCCACACACTAAAAAATAGAAGTAGGTAACTAGTTTGATTTTCCAAAATTTTGACTTGAAATTAGCCGTAGCTTGCCGACAAAAGGCTGGTGTTTAGCTAGTGACAAGGAAACGGCACTAACTTAATTAGTGCTTTTTTTGTCGGTTGACAATCCATGCACGTTTATTATAAAAAACAACAACAGACACCTGTATCTGTTAAGTGCACACAACTTAAGAATCACTTGTTTCAATTTTAGTTTAAGTTAAAAAAAGTACATACCTTCATGTTTAAAAAATCAGTAAAATCAGTAGTTTTTTTATTGCAACAAGACCAGCCTTTGTATGCATCATGAAAAAAGGGAGCTCCTGGATGATGAAGACAAGATTCTGAAAAATGTACACAAAATACTGGTATTTAGACACAACAAATACACTAACCATGAAAAGTTTACACAAAATACTGGTATTTAGACACAACAAATATATTACCCATGAAAAGTTTACACAAAATACTGGTATTTAGACACAAAAAATACATTACCCATTAAAAGTTTACACAAAATACTGTTATTTAGACACAACAAATACATTACCCATGAAAAGTTTACACAAAATACTGGTATTTAGACACAAAAAATACATTACCCATGAAACATTTACACAAAATACTGGTATTTAGACACAAAAAATACATTACCCATAAAACATTTACACAAAATACTGGTAATTAGTCACAAAAAATACATTACCCATGAAACATTTACACAAAATACTGGTATTTAGACACAACAAATACATTACCCATGAAACATTTACACAAAATACTGGTATTTAGACACAACAACTACATTACCCATGGAAATTCATAGGGAAAAAATTACACAAAAGATTTTTGCACATCTTTTCAGAAAAGTCACTTATTCGTTTCTATCTTTTAAGATCTTAAATTAAAAATTTTTGAGTTTTCTTGTTCAACATTTGTGGGAGGAATTCAAAAATCACAAACAGATGCACATAATTGAGAATTTCTATACAGATGTCAAGGTTTGATACAGGTTAATTTATCATTGTTAGAAACTGGGCACTTTATGTTTTTAAATGTTTGGATACTGAAAACCATATTATTGAAAGTATGAAACTTAAAAGTGAGAATTTAGAATGTAGACATGTTCACATAACACAGAGAAATGATGATTGAGAATTTTTTATATATTTCCATTTGAAGAAATTAATTCAAGATATTAAAATTTACATAATGCAAAAATTTAAATCATAAACTACATTTTGATGTCAAGTTTATTGAGACAGACAAATAATGCTAGAACAGTAAAACTGTTATATAAAACCACTTACCTCAGCAGCAAACAAATGCCAAGATCATGTCCATTTGTCGAATGTTTAGATATCGGTCACTTTGCATCAGTCAATTCAATTGCAGCAACAATGAATACGACTCATATAAACAATGAAAATTCTACATTTGGATGGACACTACAGAACGCAAGTCAAGCACCATACCCACCAGGTCATGCCAGACCCAGCTACGTCTTACTAATACCGACATGAAAAGAATAATGAGTATATTGTGAGATTACTTAGTTAAGTAGCCTTTTGATTGGTAGCTAACCAAATGGAACTAATGATAGCTAACTAAAACAGTGCACTGACTCACCAGATGTATTTTCATCAGACTTGTATTTCTTTCCACAACCTTTATTGTAGCAGAGTAGCCAGTTGTCACCTGTTCCTTCCAATGTTGTCATCGCAGAAAAAATAAGATTTTCTCTAAAGTAAAACAACAGACTCATTAACAAATAATTTAAGACAGTATATCAGAAAAACAATTGCATTAATATGTTAATATTTTAGAAGTCTCCTACTTAAGGGTTCAGCAGCGTGAAAAACTTTGAAACAGGTTTCTAGTTTGTATTTACAGAAATTTTGATTTTAACAAGAAGATTTTCATAGCCTTGAAGAAGACTAGCTAGCCTTCATGAAGAGTAACGTGTGTAGTTTTGGTTTCTTTGTTATAACGATAACATAAACATGTTGAAAAAGGGTTACTCAATGAACAAGATAACTCGCTACAAATATTTTCGATGACGAGGAACCCACTTTGAGACTAATAATGGCTGGAGACGGCTTGAATGGGTAATGAAGAAAAACTTTAATACAAGTTTAATATAACAACAAATGTACAACGTCTCAACAAAGTTTTGACATTACCTGATTTTTAAGAAAATTTTGGAATTTTTCTTATATTAAATTCATTATTGTTTTATAGTGCTGATTTTGATCGCCTATTGACAATTAATGTAACTGATATAGTTTTGAAGCTATTCCTTTTATTACACATACACATATATATACATTACTCTTCAAGCATTATAGATTTAATACTGTGTTAAATGTGTACTAGTTTTCTTCAACCCATCAACTAAATTGTATAAACTTACCTTACCTCAAGTTATCCGATGTCTTCCCATTAAAGAAAAATTCTATAGCTTTGAAATAGATATAATTTAACGTACAGATATTTTCACATTTTGCAAATGAAAGGAACATTTACAGAAACTGTAGAAAAATCTTAAACCTATATTATTTACTGTACTATTGTGCAATAGTCCAATTCTTGCTCTATTCAATCACACTTGACATGGTACCAAGTCAAGGTTTCAACCAAGGCCTGTACAAAACACTAAGGGATACATTATAAAATTAAGAAATGGATAATATATTATCAAGAAATGACAGGTTCTTGGCAAAAATAGTTATACTTTGGAATGGGCAGGAAACAATAAAAATAAATTTACAAAAAGGGTTGTTTTGTTCACAAAAATTTCTTTACGAATTGTATTGAAACAAATGTCAGAAAATGTCAAAATACTAATAAACTTTTTTTTGAGTTAAAATTGTTGAAATATTATTAGAATTAACATATAAAATTGACTACAATTTGTGTCTGAAAAAATCTTATCAGGTGAGGAAAAAATATATAAAATTAAAGAGGCCAACATGTCTCTGCTACGAAATCCCAACACGGCCAATTTTGACCCAAGAAAAATTTTGAAAAAAAAAAACAACAGAAAAATCAGAAAATGTCTATATCACTGTTTGTGTCCTGCAAGAAGGTATCTTCTTACCAAATCCCATCTAAGTTGGTTGATATACAAATGAATAGTTCACAAAACCCACAAATGGTGCTTTCCTTACTGAATAATTGAGTAAAAGACAAATTCTAGAATTTTCTATATATATATCTCAGTTTGATACCCGCAAAAAATATCTTTGTACTAAATCCCAAATAAATGGATTGAAATACAGCCAAGAAATGGACCAAAACCCTTAAAATTATACTTTTTATGACCTTTTGACTTCCTTAAAATAACCAAAACTAAGCACACTCCACATTTTTATATGTATATGTACGGGACCTGTATAAAAATTTGCACCAAATCCCACATAAACTGGTAAAAAAAAAAAAAAAAAAGACATTGTAATAAATTACACGATAAAAAATACAGCAAGAAGAATAAATATCACATACATCAAACAAACTTTATTAACAACTTAGCCACAAAATCTTTTACACATTAACCCCACAGTCATTTTTTTAACATCTCCTCCGTCAAAAAAATAAAAAAGTCAGCAAATAAAATTAAAGCCAGTATTGGTGTCACTAAATTTTTTATGACCTTTGAAGCAGATCTACTAGACATGTTGAATATGAGAGATAATCATTAACGTTTGACGTAAATGCGTGCACCAGATGAAGTTCATACAAACTTGTAGTAAGTCTATGTGTAATGCAATTTATAGTAGCAGTTAGTTTTAAATAGCGCATGTTATAACTATGGATTGGTGTACAGGTAATAGTGGTTGGTCATGTTAACTAAAATAAGGGAGATGCTATAAAAATCCATGCAAAGGTGTAGTACCAAGGGGTTTCACCAATAAGAGACATGGGCGTCTGTAAAATCAATACAGGTGCGGTCATATACATATATATCAAACTTTTTTTTTTTTCCAATTAGAGAGACAAGAAAACCTCTTTTTAAAGTCATATTAAGATTTTTAACCTTCAGAGTGATTTTCCAAGTGATCCCTAACAAACTACAATGACTTACCAATAAAAGAAGTCACGCTAATTAGCCCTTAATTTCCTGGATCTTATCTAGATCCCATCTTTTAAAGGTAGATATCATACTGATCGATTTCCAATTATCCCGTATTTAAGAATTTCTGGAATATTTCATTTAAAACCGTATCAGCTCATTACTTAAGCCTCTTTTAAGACTTCAGGTAACCTTCACGAGTCAGAGATTTTCCATCAGAATTAATAAATTTCCATGATTTTCTAGCAACTTATTTTCTTTAATAATAATAATGTTCTAACCCCTCAAACATATTAAAACAGTTTAGATATATCATTCTATTAATTTATCACAAAAACACTAGCAAAAAAACTTTGCTTAACACTTGAACAATTTATTCCTTCTCAAAATAAGGCTCTCATTTAAATCTCTTACAAGGCCCAATATTTCCTTTTATGCTCTTCTTGCTGTTAACATAAGCATAAATATATCTTAAACAAAAATTTATGTTACAAGTTAAGAATCTTTCAAAGCTCTTCTTAGCTAGCACTAATCATTTTAACCCATTTTTAGTTTGGCATTCCATTCGACTAGTGATTTTTATATTCTTGTAACACTACACACTTACAATTTTAGCCCAACCATTTACAACTTGGTCTCAGGTTTAAATGTACACAATCTGGAAAAAAATACGATCTTTCTCAGTAAATATACATAACAAAATTCTAAGAATCACTTATAATTTTTCCTTTTTAAGCCAGTCTCCAGGCCATTTCATGAGAAAAATGGAATGTGTGCACAGATATACACTCTCGCAAGTAAATATACTTGAGCAAATTGCACGGGTGCTTAAAGTGATGCATTATGATAAAAAAAATAGCAATAAATATATTACTATTTAATGTTACAAATATTTGCATTATATTAGCAAAGTTATTGATTTTATAAAAACTATGAAAAGAAGAAACTACACAACACCAATATGTTCAAAAGGTTAATTTCAATTTTCTTCTTTTTCTCTTTCTACAAAATCCTCATCATAATTGTCAGGATCATCATGTATGTTTTCCCCCCTTTTTCTACAGTTTTGTATCCACTAAATTCTGTAGTCTTGAGAAGTTTCAATTCAATTTTGTTGCCTTTGGCTGCCATCTTCTCTGCTTCATGAACGATCACAGGGAGTTAAAGATTATTACTGTGCAGCTCAACGCATTTTTCGTAGATAACACATTTCCATTTTCCTCAGGAGTATTTGAAATCATATTGTGATATGCGACTGAATATAGCCTTTCCCACACACAACAAATAGTTTACGTAATTAGATTGGTGCATGTGCCTATGCATACGTGCGAGACCAAATGCATCAAACGAAAGGAACCGAGTTCCCCAACCTGCTTCAAATAGTTACCATTTCTACAAAGCAGGAATGTAATACTTACTCTACACATAGTATCAAAATTAGCATTAAAGGTGATGTCACTTATACAATATCATATATATAGTCTTTCTATTAACTCCTTTAACATACTGAGTTATAAAAGCAACAGTCCACTATATTAAATAACTTCCCAGCCTCATTTATAAGCCAAACTAGTTTCTAATTCTAGCAATTTATGTTATTCCTAATATTAGTTTACTAAAAAAAAGTTCTAAGCTCTGTTTACTCCCTTATAAATAATCTTTTATAAGCCAAGTTTAACAAATTTCAGTAAACTTTCCCAGTGTTCCCCCAATAAAAAAAAATATCATCACCTTAGAGTATCCAAGTATTTACATTAAGACAAAAATAATCATTACTGAAACAAAGTTTTTTTTCTCCAAAATTTGTAGTGCGCACTAGACAGATTTATACATTTTGATAAAAAGCTTAGAAAAAAAAGACCGTTATACTCCAGATAATTATAAAAGAACATTTGATTTTAACCAACATTTCCCAGCAGAAAAAGAGCTCTGAACAAATGACAATCTAATCACAAAAGAATCAGACAAAAGGGAAAGGTTTTGTCGTCTTAACCAAAAACAGTTACCAAGGTAAAATAGAGTAGAGGAACAGCTTCAAAATACATCCATCTTCGCTACATTAAACAAATATACAACAAAGAAGAAGCAAAGAGGAACAGCTTCAAGATACATCCATCTTGGCTACATTAAACAAATATACAACAAAGATGGTCAAAGAAGAAGCCAAGAGGAACAGCTTCAAGATACATCCATCTTGGCTACATTAAACAAATATACAACAAAGAAGAAGCCAAGAGGAACAGCTTCAAGATACATCCATCTACGCTACATTAAACAAATATACAACAAAGATGGTCAAAGAAGAAGCCAAGAGGAGCAGCTTCAAGATACATCCATCTATACTACATTAAACAAATATACAACAAAGATGGTCAAAGAAGAAGCCGAGAGGAACAGCTTCAAGATACATCCATCTATGCTACATTAAACAAATATACAACAAAGAAGAAGCAAAAAAAGATACTTAAACGTCTAAAAGTAGAAAGTGCTTTGCTAGAAAAATTACTCACAGAATTAAAACCCTCCCATAACCGTATACCTGAACTATAGGGAGAGTCCCTAAAGACCATACACAAAACTTACCTTGAAGAACCATAATGTCAGCATATGCCTGAAACAGAAACCGTATCCTGGTTACAAGATCAACTGTTTAAACCTTGTCTAAAGTAT